CTTCATAACCAAGGAGGCAGAGAAACGTCTTAAATACAAGTTACGAAATCTAAATCATTAGATATTGGGCGTAAAAGCACAGGTCGTCACGATACTTATTGGAGCTCTGGGATATGTTCCACAGAATTTTAAAAGAACTTGTCTAAACTCCCTGGTAATTCATAAGAATGGGAAGTTCGAGAAATTACTTTATATAGAACAGCCTACATTTTTCGCAAAGGATAGTAGGCACACCGTTAGTCCCTAGATTTGCTCCATATAAAACTAATTGCAACTCAGAGTGGACTTTATGTGTGTTACATTGCAGATATTATTTTCTGAATAACACCACCTCATTTTATTCTAAGTAACACAGTTTTATAATTTTGGAATTTGCTAATGTACAATAATTCAATGAGCGCTCCGAAATAAACCTATAGGAAAAATATTAGATTTCCTACAGTAATGTACTGACAGCCCGTAACATCTATTAATTGCCCTATAAAATATTAATTGCCGCATTATGCCCTTCCGGCTCGAAGATGTCGCTGTCGGTCATCAGGTCAAGTGGCTGATGAGCGATGGTGGTGTAATTCAATTCCGTATTATCCTTCGACCACGCCATCTTCTCTCGAAGATTAATCAATCAAGTCAGACAATAACTAGCTCGACTGGACATTTGGATATACATCTTGAGTAGTACCTTAAAAAAAGAACACGGATCGCGCCCTATCTTTCCTTCTTCGCTTTCATTGACATCTCAAAAGCCAATCGATTGACAGATATTCAATTCCCAACATTTCTTTCCCCGTTTTGTGCAACAAAAAAATCCCCCAACCGTCCGAGTTGCGGAATGCAGAGAAACACTGAGGGATCGCGCAGGCCCAATTTGTGTGTTTTATAAACGCATTAATTAACTGGTGATGCTGCGATAGCACATATTTTCTCGCACTATTTCTAACATTTAAAATTTTTGAACTCTCTTACCCCCCTTCCAAGCCTGGGAATTTAACTAGGCCCAGTTGCGGAGGACACCCTTAGTATAGTCGGACACTCGATCCAAAAATACCATATAGAGTTGCTGGTACATTCGTGGACACCAGTATAGTCATGGATGGGGGGTACTAATAATATCTTTTTAACAGCGAGATATCCCTGTGCATGTAATCTCTGTGTCGGGTGTGTCTTTAAGTTGTGTTGTGATCAGAATTTATGGTTTGTGGACCAATGATAACGAAAATTAATTGCCGGCAAAACGTCAGTGAATCTGTCCGTCTCTCAGCCCATGGTCGCGCCAGCACTTTAATCGTTCAGACGACTTCAAAATTGCTATTCCCCGATTGATCTAAACAACGTGAGACCCTACGTGTTTATAACGGACACTTTGATTTTTGGGAGTACTTCTAAGAAGCCTCAACAACATTTACAAAAGTTTATCTCAAGTGGCTCCGAAGTTTTTGATTAAACTTTGTCTTCGAAAAGCGTAAAGAACACTTAGAAAAATTGAGACCGTTTCATTTCCGTCAAAATCCCTGATTTTTTTAACATTGCAAAAGTTAAAAATACTTTCAGCATCTTTCTACATCTGCAACATTGAAGATAGAGATTATCTTGTTTAACAAAATCTGCAGTTTAAATCCTGATCTTGAAATATCGTAATTTACACATTTTCGGGAATGTGAATAATTTTGTTGAGATATATTTTTTAACAATTAATTTCACAAAAACGACTTTATTTTTTCCTTCTTGAATACTTACGTATATACGGATTAATATACGTAGTGTAGGGAAAGTAACGTAATGCTGCGGAAAATCATTTCCGATATTTCAACGAAAATACACGTTTTGGGGTCACCAGTACCGGAAAAGTGTTGTTTTTCTTCGAAATGTCTGTGTGGTCGTCCGTCTCACCGTCCATCACGTCGTCCGTCCGTCCGTCCGTCCGTCTGTATGCCTGTCTGTCTGTCTGTCTGTCTGTCTGTCTATCTGTCCGCCTGTCAGTCTGTCTGTCCGCCTGTCTGTCTGTCCGTCCATCTGTTAGTCCGTCTGTCCCTCTGTCCGTCCGTTTATGACCTTTTCATTCCTCTGTGGAGTTGCGATATGCAGATATATTAACGGATAGAATTATGAACAAAATTAAATCTCTTGTAAAAAGTGAGATATTTAAAAAGATCATGAAATTTGAAAAAAAACAAATAGTTTCGGCGTAATTTCTACTTGAATGCAATGCAATTTATGAAAAATATTCATAAAAAAATTTGATTTTTTCTTTAATTTTTTGCAAGGTTTTAACGGGGACGCTTAAGATTGTTCAGAACTAATTTTCGTTGAACACTTTGAATTCTAGAAATTACAAAAGGAATAAATATTGTTTGAAAGTATGTGTGGTTGGGCATCACTGGGTTTAAGTATAACACTGGGATTTTAAATAAAATGTGTCAACGTTTAGAGAGGTATGGAAAGTGCTGCACTGAGGTGTCAAAACGAGGTGACCTCTCAAACATATCCTGATGCCACATATGTACAATTGAGTTACAGAAATGTAGTTCCACAATGAGGCCAGTCCAACGTATTGTTGAGACGTTTTGTACAGTCAACTCCTTCGACCAAACCCTCCACTGCCGCCCCCAGAGTGAGACGATATGGGCTTAGACCACAGGGTCACGAGTTGTCCTTTCGTCGCTTTTCCCTCGCCCACAAACCCCTCAGGTCTCGCGCCTCCGGGCGAGGAGTCTATCAGTCGGAATTCACACACAGTGCCAACGATAATTAAACGGAATTCGCCAAAGGTCCGAAGGTAAATGTGATCAGCAACCCTTAGGAAATGATTTAATTAAAAATGTGCACGAAGCGTGCTGAAACGCGGCAGCATCCGAAATGTGCCTGCCTCGTTTTTTGTAATTTTTTTTTTTCAATTTTAAATTTTTTTCGCATCGATCAGGATGGAAAAAAAGCGTTCGCAAAAGCTTTCTTTCAGTTGCCTTCCAGCTCAATACGTCCGAATGTTTGCGTCGGACGAAACGCCCAGCTGAACTACGAGGACAAACGAAATGTAATTCCACGTGTCACGTGTCACGTTCCCTCTCACGCATGCCGCCTGCCGCGGGTCAGGAGACACGCAACGTACCGTTAACGGACGCACGTGCTCCTGGCTGTCGCCAATACGAAAAGGCGTCGTAAGCGTGGGGCTTAATTTCAAAAACAAACGTAAATTGGCAAAAAATAAACAAAAGATCACATGATTCTACATAACATTGTAAAGAGACGAGGAGTGTAGTGTTTTTATTTTATAATGTGACAACTGACTTTTCACACTGTTCTTGAAGGAGGTTTGTGACCTTACTGAGATTCTAAAGTATATACTAATAACACTAATAGTAATAATAATAGCAACTTACCTCCTGAGATCAGGAAGCATGATGAGCTTGCAATGCAATTGAAACAGATCTGGCGCTTGGAGAAATATTTTGTATACATCGTGGCGATCTCATTGGAAGGATTCATGTCGAAAAATTTTGCAAAGAGTTTCAGAGATTTGGAACTACCAAATAAATTACAATTGTGGGACAAAAGGCAGTCTTAATTCAGGCTTGTTACGTCGTTCGAAGGTTTTTTCAGAAAGCACAAGTAGGAAAATGTGGTTCCCTTGTTATAAGAGCAGAATCTGGTTCTAAAACACCAACAAACGATCCTTTGTGCTCAGTTTAACTGAGAAAGTTAGTAATAATAATATTAATAATAATAATAATAATAATAATAATAATAATAATAATAATAATAATAATAATAATAATTTTTGTACATGTCGTGCGGTTCGACGAAAATGGCGCTGACGTCACGAGTTTTAAATGATCGAAACTATTAACTGAATCGAATTGGATGCAACTTAGGAACAAAAAAGAATTCGTTGTAAGATGATGGATCTGCTGATAGAAATATATTAGCAGTCAAAAATAAGGAAAAGTGTATGTTATACGACTAACACCCAACTTCCCTTATAAAAACACGTACAATGGCTTCTTTGTTCGGTAAGTCCACAGTCAGAGAAAAAAATACAATTTTCAGTACATCAAGTACTACATTAGATGCAGATGATAATGATTGTTGTAATGGGTTAACATTCATAATAAACACATAGAGTATTTTTTGGTAATTACTCATTTTCAATGCGCGAATAGAAATTGAAAGAAAACTATGCAGCGTCCGTCCATGTGGGAGGTATCTATGGTTTCACTGAACACCCAAAAATCCAAAAACAATAAGTTTCGATTTTGACTGCAAAATGGAAATGTTTATTACAAAATGAATTGTGTTATTCTCACTATTGTCGCACATTGAGAAATGACTGAAATCTCATACACAGTGCATCACGCCATGAGAGAGCAGAGCTCCAAGGAAGAGGCTATCCTCGTCACTTGTTTGCCATTTACGGAACAGAAATATTTAATATTCTCGGTGTGAAAAGGACTGTTGAACAGGATATACGCTATACTATGTTACTCAACTGCTCTCGAAAATATTTTTTCTTAAACAATATGTAAGTTATGTTGAGCATTTTTTCCAATATGCAGGCACTTGTATTTCAAATGCGGCCATGTTTAGAAGGTCGGCGATTTGTACAGTTCCACAATGACACTACTTTTTAAAATGTTAGTTTTTTAAGTTTCTTTTTTTAATACAAATTCTCTTCTTTTACACGGAACAAAACTATAGGTGTACTATTACACAATTTATATTTCAAATGTACTTGAGCCTTGATAATGTGGCCAAATAAAGCCTCGAATCTCTTAAGAAAAATAAATGAATGTCCTTAATATATAATCCTAAACAAAAAATATTAAGTTTATTTTAGTTATACAAGAGTGTTTTATTTGTTTTCTTGAGCAGGTGTAAGCTAATTTTCTGAAAACCATTTTGTTTGGTATCGTCCAGCAAGCTTTTTGCAGCTGCGGGCCACATGTACGTCATAATCTCCATCATTTCAAATCGAATTTATATTATATTATTACTGTAAGCGTCATTTACTCCTACATAGAACAATTATAGAAAATGTAAAATAATAAAATTTTAACCCAATTTCACTCTGTCCATGCACATTAACGTAATTGTTTATTATTGGTACAATGTTGTCAACATTCCTATGGTTTTTTATGTCCACAACATCTCATCAAATATGCCATATTTGTAAAATTTCAGTGCTTCAACTAAGTATATACAATAGAGAACATGGCAAATATTAACGCCGAATTATCGACTCCAGCGCAAGATCCGATCCCACGACTCTTCGGAGCGAAAAACAAAACCATCGCTCCCTGGAATTACCGTGCCCTCGCGGGGGCTTAGTCGCACTTTAGCTTTAATCTGATGTCATTATTGCCTCAATGTTATCGCAGCAGAATTCGATTGATCCGTTGCGCTAAGTTGGTAGGACTCACAGTGCCAGATGGTTTTGCCGCGTCATCAGTTACCTGAAACAGTGAGAAAATATGGTAATTTATTTTCTTTTGTTTGGAAGAAAATAACAAAAATAATGCATTTCAACTCAGCTATTTTTTCAGAGACTTTGAAATTCAAACGTTAATAAACGGTTTCGGGTTTAGAATGGTAGACGTCTAACACTCAGTCTGTCATTATTTTCATTTCCTCGCACGTACTTCGTAGGAAGAGAAAGTTATGTAATATTGCGCTGTACGTCATAGCGTAAATTAGCGTAATTTGTGGGAGAAAACCTCTTATTGCTGGGCCACGGTAACGATAAATGGCGATAATTCTGTTTTATGTATAGTAAATTACTTAACCTAACATGTGGTGTAACCAGAATTCCTGTGTTGTGGGTACTTGATAGCACAAAATCGATTGAAGGCAAAACATCTGTCTATCCGTCTGTGGTCAACGCTACTGCCTACATCGTTCAGCCAATTTTTGCCAAAATTGATATTCTCCAATCAATTTGAACGAACTCGAGACTTTGAGTTTCAACCTGATATTTTGATATTTGAGAGTACTTTACGTGAAGGCTTAAACACATTTTCATTATTGCGTCACAAATGGCTCGAAATTTTTTTATTTCACTTTGTTCTCGAATAGCGTAAAGGACGTTTAAGGGAATGGTGCATATCTCATTCTCGTGAAAATCCAAGATTTTTCGAAAATGAAAAAAGTTGCATCTACCTACAACTATATTATTGAAGAAATTTGTACAATATTTTGAAAAGAATGATTAGTTTTTTGCGTTAATTATGCTTGAATTTTATATTTTGATATCAGGAAATTCCTCAAAAAAAACTCATTTTTTTCTTTCATTTTTTCCACGGATAGAAAAAGGAACGCTTAAGAGATTTCGTTTCCGTCGGACTCATAATTTTCAAAAATTGCAAATTAAATCGGCAATTGTCGAAAATTCAGAGTTCGCCGAACATGATAGTGAATAATGACTGAAAGTATGTTCTACAGGCGCACCACTAATTTATCTGGCAATATGACTTGATAACGCGAGTCGTATTATATTTACATTTCATGTAATATAAAACGAACCTTGTATCCTAATAGTTCTTCAGTCGATTCTTGAATAATTTTGTTCTGCAAAAGAATCCCGCGAAAAACGAATTTAAATTTACAAAGACTTACAACTTGTGAAATTTTGTGACATGTTAATGAAACTAGAACAGTTGCATATTTTTCATTGCATTTTTCTCTATTTTACCAAATAAATCTAAATTCAGTGTTTTAGCCGCTTTTTAATCTCGTTTGCATTGCAACGATTTAATTTTCTCTCTGTCTATCTCTCTCTCTGTCTATCTCTCTCTATCTCTGTTTGTCTGTACATCTAATTCATAACAATTTTCAACGTACGTATCACTAACACGTTCTAATAGACACTACCAGTAATCAGCAAAAGCTATTTACGTTTAATTACTTGTAGAATTACATTGTAAACTGAATGTGATTACTAAGAGTATAATTATGTAAAAATTGTGAAAAGATACATTGTTAACGATAATTTCGGACATTCATTACTTTGTCGATCCAATTATTCTTCATATATCTTTAATGCTTTGCGCAGTATATTCTTATATGTCAGATTTCTAAATACAAACATTTGTGCTTCACCAAAAATATTTCGTTCCAGTACCGGAATGTGACATTCATTTCCCTACTTGGTCCATACACGTGTACGTTTCTAACAGCCTCGAATAACGTTCACACTAAACACCACTCCATTACATCAATATTCTCTCCACATCCAAGCAAATTCAATAATGGATGTAGCTTACCACACCGCAAAACAGCCAAGTGAATATTACACTAAAGCCACATTGTACCAAGCATTATTATTCTCGTCGTCTACTTTCTCTCTCGCGTACGCCGATCGTGTAGAGCCGTGTCACAATTACAGGAACGTGAAATCTACGTCGTAATAAACGTGATTAAGAACTTAACGACGCTGTATTTTCCGGGCCTTCCTGAACAATTATAACTACTAAAGCAGCGGTATTGTAAATGGAACTCTCTCAGAATTTTATAAAGCATTCCCGCTACGCTATGATAAAATACTTCATGTATTACGCAGTTATATGAAAACTGATTTGAATTAGCAGAACAAAATCGATAACACTAACGAAATTTCGTAACGTTTATTAAAAACTGGTATTCCATGCACACAATTACGAAATTATTTTCTTATATTCAGGCCAGTTAGTATTTCCGCGTAATTACGTTTATTACAGGAATTTGAATTCAGAAGTTATATTCAGTATTAAAGTATAGTGTCAGTTTGAATCCAGTATTAATGCCAGAAAAGCATCTCTCCTTTGCCTTTATTCTAAGAATTTTAACAATCAGTACACGGAATTGCAAGATTTTTTTTAAATGTCAAACGGGAAAATAAAAATAATTTGAACTCAAAACTAAATACTAACAAATATTATTGAAAATTTCTCGATAAACCAGCATAAAGTCTAATAAAATTATTCGACCCCACTTGCGAGTTGCAACAGTTGGTAGTCTTTATAAACAGTTTCCAAAACCAATTTTGGATTCTCTTTAGCTAATGCTAAAATTTACCTTAACGCTAAATTAATTTTACTGAGCAAATTTTGAAGAGGTTGCTAATTTACATATTTTTTCTTCCTTTCTTGCTTTCCTTTCTTCCTTTGACCTTGAAAGTTTCCTTATCACAGTTGGCACGTCATTCAAACGGTCAGTACGCCATGACACCTGGGACAGTTGGTGGTCTTGAATTTTGAAATGATAACTGTTAGGAATTTTTTTAAATTTTATTTTTTCATACATAATATGATTTTACAATTAGGAGAGTTTCTTCATTTTGGTAGCTAAGTATTGATTTATATTTTTCTTGTTATTCAACAGAATTTACATTATTGAATTGGCAAGTGTTGTTCTAGCCTGATGATCGGGAAAATTTCTTCCTCGAAACGTCATGATCTTGGAAACTTAATACAAGATGTGTCTGGCATATGTGCAATATCTGATTCCTGTGCAATATCTGTATCTGTTCGTTCACCCCGCTACCCAAATCCCCGTCTCGTACGGGAGATGGAAGCATCACAGAAGGCAATACAACCTCAACACTTCGAGGAACGAAGGGCTCCGAAGGGAGCAGGCGCTCTCAAAGCACCACTTCAACTGGTCTCGTCTGGTCTGGTTGTCGAAAAATGGCCGAACAGTTTTGTATTCATTGCTTGTGACGGCCAATAAATTTTAATAATTTAATTTATTTTCTATATATGTTACCGAATATATAATAACTTTTAATTTTTTCCTATTATAGTGATATCGGCGGATGTCAATGCACGAATTCCCGAAATGCCATGCTGTATGAAGATATACAAGTACGAAGTATCTATATAAGTATACATGCACCACTGTAAGTATGAACTACCTGTATGTATGAAGTACCTGCAATAGATTTGTAAGACTTAATACGAAGAAACCAGTCACCCCTGATAGCCCCTAGTATTAAGGAAAAAAATTGATATTTAACCTTTTAAAGGTATTTGTAAGCAAAATTGATTTACTTAAACAATTGATTTTTTATATATATATATATATATATATATATATATATATATATATATATATATATGTATATATATATAAAGTATATTTATCATCCTGTGTGACATTGTTTTGATTTCATTCTAGAGAAATAAAAAAATTAAAATGACATATTAACAAAAAATATTATTTTTAATTTCCTTTGTGTAATGTTTTCGGCCTTTCTCATTCAGAACTCTTGTCAGACAGATATGTTGACAATTATACTGAGTTCATAAAATTCACATTGTACGAAACCGCTCCCATATCAAATATTAAAATCAAATATTTCCAAGAAGCAAGAAAAATAAATAATATTTATTGTTAAAAATGTATATTTATTTGGCCCAAAAGATACTGTGAACTGTGATACAGACAACTGAATTCAATATGTACGGTTATCGTCAGTTCAAATTGGTTTCTGCGCATCCAGTAGATAGAAAGTAATTCTTAGGCGCTAAATACGTACTGAAGCGACATACAATGTACTATTCTGAAGAGCCGTAAGCCCTCTGACTAGATGATAGTAACTTTGGATATTGCAGAAAGGAGGTGTGTGGACCTTCACCATGAAACAAATTGACAGAAAATCTAACATGAAAGGGAATCAATAAAAATCAATAAGATGAGCATAAAAATGAAATCAATAAAAAAACGTGGTTCACTTCTTATGGATGACTTTACTCTCCAAATATCGAATCAAGAGTAAAAAGTTATTACTAATTAAAATGGAACAAATATTGAAGTTATGTACATAATAAGTATTAGTGATAAAGTAAAACAATGGGTGTAGATCATGTAAATTTATAAAATGAGAAAAAATCAGGATAACAATGATTTATTACGAACAATCATAATATCAAAAAGTGGCATACAAATGTAATTTTCTTATTTGCAGGAGCGCATCTCTCCTTACCTTTCAATACTAAATAATAATTATCACCATCATTATGTGTTTTTTTTTCAAGTCTGAATGAATTCATTCAAGTTCAGAATATTGAAAGTACTTCGCTTCATATAAAGAAGAAACATCTCTAAAGATTTCTTAAATGAGCAAGAGATGAAAGTTCTACATGTGTTCTATTACAATCACTCCTAATAAATATAATAATTGAGCTCCTATCCATTTATTATTCTATCGTTTACCAAAATTCATTATAATATTGGTATCTTCACATATTTGATTTGGATTTTGATAAAACAAATACTATGAATTAAAGATTTAATGCTTTACCCTTATCACAATTTCTAATATATTGTAACTCAGCTCGGTATTTTATAACGGAATATGTGATGGCATTCATGTGAAATTAAATTTTTTAATGACTCCAATCATTTACTACAATGATTCATTAGTTAAAAATGCAGAACAGGACGTCCACGATATTCTATTCTATTTTATTATTAATAT